GAGAGTGTCTAGGGAATAGCCTTTCATCTACTTTTACCATAAATCTAATATTAAAACCAACTCAGTTTCTTTATGTATCAGTACCAACTAGAGTGATTTTAGTTTTCTCTCACCACTGTTACTTCAGGCTACATACTGAATCTGATGTGCATGAAAATCACTTAGAATGAATATAATAGAAAATTAAAGCAGTGCTGAAATATACTTAGCTATTAGAATTCAAGTAGGAAATGTTAGGATCCACCCATTTAAAATGTATCCACATATTATAAATTGCTGTAAACAATTTGTATTTTTGTAAAAAAAACATAGTATTGTTTAACTTGTGTTTTGGCAATTCCAAGGCTGTTTTTCCCTGTAGTCCTCTTTGTAAGCCACAGTAGGAAAAAAAACCCCTCAAAACTGCTATACTTGTTATCACTAGAGATAAATAATGTACATATCAATGCCTATGCCTATATTATATATAAATATATATATGTGTGTGTGTGTGTGTGTGTGTGTGTGTGCTTATGTGCATTTGTGCACATGTAATTATATATATTGTGTCTAGTTATGCACATCCTCTTCCTTTTGTATGGTAAGGATTTTGACTAAACATAGGGTGCAAATCAAGGTTGAAGGAAACCACAAATATAGCAGGATGACTGGAGTTTTAAATAGGAGAGATGGCAATTGTGCAAGATTCTGTGCAGGATTTGTGTTTGCCACATACCTCAGAACTGCAGATGGAAGCATGAAAAGCAGACTAGAAGACTCTCTAATCCTAAAAAGGCCTGCCATAATTTCCTAGGCTCCATTGACCACAGGACATTGTGCCTTTCCCTGTCTGGCATGTTCTTAATGGAGGAAAGGGTGCAAAAAGGGAAATAGCATCCGTCCCAGGGATCATTTCAGATTCTGTACCATTAATGAATAAGTGAACACTGTAGTAGAACTGCTCTGAATGAAACAAAAATATATTTCTTTAGTATTTCCCCCCAAAACTTTTTCTCAAAATGTCTTAATTAATTAAGGAAAAGGTTTCTTTCTTAATATCTTTCTACATTTTTTTCATTCCATATTAATTTGTTTCCACTAGAAACAGGAGGAGAACTGGTAAAGTATCACAATTTTTTTTTATTTTTTTTTTTTTTTTACGGTGGATGAACCTGCAAAGGTTTACGAATACTAACAATTACACCTCTATTCTTGTCAGACTCCACCAGATCTGATTAATAGCAAAGTATTTATCTGATAAAGTGGAATTTATAGAACTTGTGAAATTTACTTGCCAGAGCCAGGTAAACAGTTCTAAATTTAACTTCAGTTCATGTTCAGCTGCAGAAAGCTCTGGACATGTTGCCATAAACTTAAAAAATAAGATAAAATGTAAAACGTTTTATTATTTATTATTATTGTGATTGTTATCACAAACATGTAATATATAGTCACTTAACTAACATAATTTAATTTGCCTGTTTCATCATTAGAGACCCCAAAATGATCTTGAAAGATGAGCTATCACTTTGTTTCTGCACATAATATTTAGATTCCATGTAAAATATGAAAATGTTTCAGATAGAGCACAAGAGTGCTTGTAAATTAAATGCACATTACATGTGACACTGAAAATAGACCAGAATGCATAGGAATTTCAGTCAGAGAAGACTACAAAGACCATCTAATCTGCCTAGAGGTGATGGTGTTTTACCTCATAATCCATTCCCAAAATATACAAGAAAGATGGTGAATATCTTTCAAAATATATTTTGACTCAGAAACATCATATGACAGTGAGCATTTCATTTGTCGTACCTATTATTAAATAACTGGAAAAGAAAATGCATCTTCTGCTCTGAACAGATTTTGGTGACAGGCGTCTTGTCATGTCTTCCCTAGATTGAAAAGCCCTTCCTGACATTTTTTTGTATGGACTTTGCTCCTTAACCTTCTGTTTGCTAAGATGGGTAGACTGAGCTCCCTCAACCTTTCCTCATGAGGCACGTTTACGTATGTTCATTTCTAAATGACAGCAGCACAGAAATGAATGTTTCTTCTAGGAATCCTCCCACCGAGGCAGACACATCTCAAAATTCAGCGCCTTGGCGGCTTGACTGCTATGACAGTACAGATGACTTAGTTTTTTGCTGGCTGAGAAGATCTATCTTAATTAAGATAAAAATAGTAAATTGTCTAAATATTGAGCACATGTAGAAGAATATATAAGTCATTGACTAATACATGCTTTTGAAAGCCTAGATTAATGTTTAAAATGTTTCTTTAATTAAAATCAGCACAAAATCTTGAACTTATAAATAATATTATTAGGAAGGGTCTTTGTTTTATTTTCTTTCCCCTCACGACATTTCTTCTTTTTTTTTTTTTTTTTTTTTCCATTGTGGTTGTCGTTTTCTCATTATGGGTGAGCTTTTTTTGGCAAGTTTTCTGACAAATACAATTATATAATTATATGATACCCAGCACGGGGCTTGATAAGACAGTGCTTGAGAGGACAGGGAGGGATGCTGTACAAGGTTGACATGAAGACATCTCTGCAAACACTTGGGGACAGAGTTTGCCTCTGGGAAGTGTTACTCACAGAGGTTTGTATATTACCACAGGCCACAGTATGAGGAACTCTGTTATCTTCTGGCTTTAACAGCCTTGGGCTGTGCCTTTTCCTCTCTTCACCTTATGTTTCACCAATATTAAAGGCAGAGAGGTTTTCAAGTGGTGCATGATTCAACCAAACTCAAACCCTTGAGTCCGGGCTTCGTAGTGCTGCTATAAGATGAATGATAATTAAACAGGAAATCAGTGGGAGGAGTAAGAATAGCTAATGCCTTAACCAGTGAGAGAAGCTTGGGAGGTGGATGGAGGTGGATGGAGTGATGGGAAGAGTTATTATTATGAGCATTCAGCCTTTCTCATCATTTTCACATGTCCACTAAAAATATATCAAACAAATGGCTTCTAACTGTAGTTGGAAGTGTGTGTGAGGTACAGGCTTGCACTTTTTAGGAGTATATCACTTCTAAGATTGTGAAACTGTTAGCTGTTCAGCAAGTTGTTTCCCTTATGTATAAAGCCCACAGATGCACAAAGGAGGTGAATAGAATCCTACCTAATTTTTTTTGCATGGCAACTCACCAAAAACATATGGGGAATCAGAATAGTCTTCTTTCTTCTCTTCTATATTCATGGAAGGTAAACCAAAGCATTGCCCTTAGTGTTTGTGATGATGCAGTCATTCGGCAAGCAACAGGCTGTCTGAAGCTGTGTGCATTTTTTTCCAGTTTCAGTTCACACAATTGTGAGTTTCGTTTTGAGTTTCATATGAACTAAGAAACTCAAAGCAAAACTCAGCTGGAACATTTCTTTCTCGGTTTATGCTGGAATGTATGCAAAACCAGAGAAAGACATAATTTTTCACTCAAAATTAACTTGTTCCAGGTTTGAAATAAATTTAGCTTAGATTTAGCACCTATAGAACTTTTCAGTCAACCAAATTTGACTTTTTTTTTTTTAACTTGGGACACTCTATTGATGGCTAGTTAATATCCATATAAGATTAAAATTGACGCATATAGAATTATTCTAATATGGCTGCTAAGCATAACAGTAAATGTGTGAGAAAATTTTCTTCTGTATGGAGAAGAAAAAACCCCAGATGTGAAAAAAACCCACTAAATGTGTTTGCACCAGCTTGTTTTGTTCACTTTGAGGAACTGGGATTTTTCTGTTGTTTGGAACTCTACTCCACAATGCACATCCTTAATCCATATGCAAAAATTCCAGAAGGAACCCCTAATTTCATTGTCTTATTTTGCATAAATGAGTTTTGAGACATGAATGTGGCATGAATCACTGTTGAGCTGCCAGCTTTCAAAATCTACTGAGCAGAAATCAAACAAAGATTTTATGTGCCACTGCTCCTTTGGTAAATTTGAAAAGAAGCTGAAACTGGTATTCAGGGTCTTGGTTAGGAAACAATTTTCCTCAGAACTATTGTTTTTTTACCTTTGCCACTACTTTGTAGAAAAAAAAAAGCCTTTAAATATATGGATTTTCTACTTTCATCTGAATCTTGATGCTCTTAGTGGGATCTCATTTCATACAAATACGAATTTCAGGAGAATCAAATTTCAAGCCATTATGCATAGAAATGAAACAGGGAGATTACCCAGGGAATAAAACCAGCATATAATATATGTAGTATACCTTCAATTGTGATGTACCACTGGTAGAAAAGATTTGAATATAGAGATTGATTCCAGGATACCTTTTTCCATATTTTCTTATGCCTCAATTTAGTAAGATTTTTATTTACAAAAGATCTTAAAGAAACACTTTTTATATCTTCATCTCAGCTTGCTCTGAGGTACAATAATAAATAAAATTTATAGAACAACCAGTTTTAATAAAATAAGATACAAAGAAAAAACAACCAAACATTTTCTTCCTTGTCTATGTTCTTCAGAAAAAAACCAAAGATTACTTATTTCTATCTGCATTTCAGTGGTTTTATGAGTTTAGCAACTCTGGGCAATGTTAGGCACAGATTGCAACCCATGGAGCAACACTAGATTTCTAGAGGAAAATGGAATTTCATCAGGGTGTGATGAAGGATCACATATTAAAGACTCATTCTGAGTTTCATGATATCTTGCAATGAAAGCTTAAAGCTCAGGTGGTAGCATCTAGATGTGTTTGGGTGTGCTAGCAGCCTGAAGTTCTCTTCAGAGAGCGGCCTACTGCCTAGTCACTGTGTTCTCCAGCATTCACAGCTTCAGCAGCATCCAGTACCTCAGACACCCCTTGCACAGTGGCAAAAACGCTGGGACTGTACAATATAGTTAAGGAGAAAAACGAGACAAAGGCAAAAAATTCAATGCCTCCCCCAGAATAAACCAACAGAAAAACCTCCAAACTGACAATCCAAACAACCCCCAAAACTCCAAACTGACAATCCCAACAAACCAAGCCAAAGTAAAAGAAAAAAGTCAGAGTATACCAACACGAATGAAGGTGTTGTGACTGTGCTGCTAGTGAAGAAAGCTGATTTCAGGACCCAGCAATCCACGCTGGCAAAGACTTGAAGACTGTGGAAGCAGTGCTTTCAATATCTGTCAGAAAGTGCACTCTCCTAGCACTATATTGCCAATAATTGGAGCAGATTGGCAGAACGAGCCGAGCAAAATCAGGCAGATCCTCTGGGTGCACAAGCATATGTGTATCAGAATGACAGGCTCCAATAAACCCTAAATAATCAATATCCACTAATTCTTAATTATCTCATTCTGCTGATGTAGTATGAGAGATATATCAAGAAACCGCCTTCCACATGCATTCATTAGGAATTCAGATTTAGTAGCTGGTGGTGATGTTAGGATAATTAGCAGCAAAAAAAAAAATGGAAGAAATGTTGGTTGCTATAGCAACCTGTTCATCATGATCTACAGCATAAACACCCAGATTAATTTACAAGATGCCAGGTAGATATACGCTTGGCTGACTGGGGTACACACAGACACCACCTTATTTGCTTTTATTAAGGCTTAATCATCAACATTAGAGCTTTCAAAGTATGTGTGCTATCACTGTCAATCATAGAGGAGCTAGATGCTTTTAGGGCCAAATCCACCAGCACAGTCTCTTTGCACATCTCTCTGCTCTGCAGGGAAGGAGGAGGAAGAATAATATTCCTCCACACACCCTATGAAGCTACCACAGGGTCCCTGGAGCTGAGATCACTGCTATGTGTGGTAAAAGTCATATTCTCCCTCTGTAGAGACTCAGACCCATTTCCTTGAATCTTAATGACAATTTTCCCTAGAGAGCCCTTGGTGAAAGAGCCCTGCCCATGAAGCAGCCTTTGTTGCTGTACAGTGACACAGGATGTACAAGTGAGGATGGCTGTCTTGATGGGCTTATATACTTCATGTAATCCGAGACTCCAGAAAGCTGCCACCCTATTGGAGAAGTGCATTGTATTTGGTAAAACTGCAACGTAGACATTTGAAGCACTGGAGGTGATGGGACAAGGAGCTAACATCATGTCATGATGAAGTGTGCAAAAAACCCAGAGGAAACATGAAGGGAGAAGAATCAGTGCACACTGGTAAATAAAGCAGAGCTGTCCCTCCAAAGTGGAGTTTAATAATGATTTATAATAAATAATAGAAAAGTTTATAGGCATACTGTAAATAGACAAAAACAAACTGCTGGAGTCTCTCTGTCACTACTTTTCTCCTGCTAGTGAGGAAAACCTTCACATCCCAACCTCTTGTTACCTCTTTACAGAAAAATCTTTGGCTTTCGTGCTGCAATAAGTTTTGCGTAGATTTTCCCAGAACTGGCATCTTTTGGCTACTTTGGGTTGCATGTTGCCTCAACAGCCTTGCCTCCCAAATTTTGTGTTTCTGCTGTGGATCCAGACCAGGATCTCATGGCACTGCCTTCCCTGGGGCCCTGCAGCTGTTTGTGCAGCTTTGTGGAGAGACGCTGTGCAACTGGTTCAGCCGTGTGGCTGTGAGGCTGCCCGGAGCCGCAGCATCACACATAGAGCCTCAGAGGTTTCAGGCAGGATAACTTAATGGAGTTAGCACTGCTAGAGGAGTCAAAACTCTTCTTATTGACCCCTTTAGTCCTCCCTTTCACTAGTCCATCCACAGGAGTTAAGTACAGTCATTCCTTTTAGGATTTTTTTTCTGACACACTCCTAGAAAATACCAGCTCTATTCAACTAAGGGCATCAGAGAATGTTTTCAACGAGCCAGGAAAGATATGGAAAATGTGAAAGGAAGGAGACCCAGGTAGGAGTGAAGAATAAAATTCATGGGTAGTAGAATAGGTAGGTAAATATCATCCAACTAAAAAGAAAAAAAAGATAGGTTTTATGTTTCTGAGTCATCTTTATCTTACAAGGCACATGTTTCACTCTCTACTGGCCCCAAAGCTGCTAACACCTACACTGAAATTTGACCATGTTGAAATGAAGAAAAGATTTGCCTTTTACTTTCGCCAACAGCAAATTTTAAAGATTTAGTAACAACAGTAAAACTTTAAAGATTTAAAGAGAAAAGGCACCATGGGACAAGAAAAACCAACCAACCAAAAGCCAGGAAACAACTACACAAAGCATATCCAATCTTCTGTGACCACTTTCCTTTCTGAGAGCCATCATAGCAATGTAGGACCTCCAAGCAACATATTGCATATGCCCACCTGAGCTGCTGAAAAAATGCCATGTATAGAAAAACCACCTTTGTAGAAAAATGTAAAAATGTCCATCTGTTCAGCACAAGCAGTTTGATGTATTATACTGGCCACAGTCTACTTTAGCTGTCCATATATTGTGTAATATTGACTTGGTCTATTTTTTTCCTGGCTATTCTGAAATAAATAAATCAAGACTTAACATATGTGCTAAAACTGCACTGGTTTATTTATAATGAGAAATACAGGCCATCAAACTACCCATGTGAGTTTAAAAAAATTCACCAGAGAGTCAAAGTCTTTCTTTCTAGCAACATAATTTTGGTTTTGGCTTAACACAATGATCAGTTCAAAAAGAATATGCTTTGCATTTAAAGTAAACAATGGCTGTTATACAAAGACTTTTAATTTTTCTTTTCCTGCCCTTTGCAATTTTATTTCCTTATTCCAAAGCTCTACTCATGACATTATGCCCACTCCAGAAACAGAATCTGCTTTTCTAATTCAGTTTTTTTGAAAACCAGCCAGTTCCAGTCATTCCATTTCAAGTCTTTGCCTCTAAAGTTTTCCAAACCTTTTACTATTTTAAATGGATTTTTAAATTGGATTTTTAAAATGGGGAATTATTAAAAAAAAGAATAACTAAAACGTGATGTGTTCTGGTTTGGAAAATTAAAATAAAATGGATGCAGCTCACAGAAAGTCAAGGAAGGCTTCTCAAACCCTGGTTCTAAACTGAGTCAGGTTCATATTACAAAAGTGAATTTGATACTTCCTTTTTAATTAATAGTAGAACCTAGTCCACAAGACAGACTTGTCCCCTTAACTGGTAAACATGTTGCTTGGTTCTTTATTTAGCATTTCATAAACACTGGGCCAATTTCATCTTTGGGGTAGCTTTATTGAAACCAATGAATAAAACCAAATATCTAATTAACTGTAAAACTTTGGCAAGTATGCAAGTATTTGGCAAGAAAATATATATTCATGAAACAGTGCTGTGCATATAATGAATTACAGAATTATGTGCTAAACCTCCTTTATTATGCCAATAAAACTTTTAAAAATAATTTAGCTCTAAAAAAGTTTCATTTTTTGGGTAAGATGGGATAAAAATGTATTTGTGACATCTGGTCAAAGGGACCTGCCTCATTATGGCTTGCACATCTGTATGAGGAAAACAATTGCTAAGTCCTCTGGCAGAATATTTTTGTGCAATGGGATCAATTTCTCTGCAAACCAATTTGAATCCAACCCCTATAAAAGTCAGTAAAAAGATTTCTTTTCTCATAGCATAGATGACGACAAAGAGAGTAAACCTCTACCACAACAATTATTAGAAATACTGCTACACATAACTAAAGAGTGGTAATAGAATATCTGTACATAATGAATGCAAAGATATATTTTAAAAGCAACGTATATAATGAAGATGGTTTGGCTAGACTATGTTATATCACTACTGTCTTTCCTAAAACAAAATTCTTTCTTCAGTATGTCTACTTCAACCTTTTAAAGCAGACTTCACAGTCTGCTGCCCTGAACTGTGCATACTGTGCATGAGAAACAGCAAACTGAGCAATGGGGAAGGTCTTGCAAAGCTGCAAGACCCCACACCCTACAAAAAGTGCAATTGTTATTGACAACAGATAAAATGTGGACAAAAATACTTGCCTTTCCTGAGATATGACCTGTTGAACAGCAGACTTCCTTAAAAAACTAAATGCAATACTACATACTGTAATGGATACCCCTTCACATTTATGTGTACTAATACACCTTCTGTGTTCAGAAAGACTACATATTCTGTGGTTATTTGTTTTAAAGGACTAGTGAAAAGAAAACATACATTCAAAAATATTAGAAGAGGTTTTCCTCCTTTAAATATTTGACATAAATATTTGCAGTATTTATTCCCCACATCACTCTGTTAAAAATGATTTTTGGTAATTATGTAGGAACACATTCATAGTATATTGCCTTGTATTAATTTTATGTCATATTGTGGTCTTTATTGTGGGCTATATTCAATTATTTTAAAATATTTTTCCTGTGCTTGGATATTATCTCATACTGCTCAAAAGACTGACTCACTTGCAGATGAAATGGTAAAATCCATGCACTGGAAATAAGTTAGGCTCCAAAGAGTCTTTCCAGTGGACTCCTCAGGTCTATCAAAGAAAGCCTTCTTGTACAACAGACAGATATTTTTTTTCAGTTGCGACAAAGGAATACTTTGGGGTATAGAAAATCTCTATTGCTGATCGATATGTGGGATTTGCATCTGTTCTGCCATAGAGTAAAGAGTCATTCCAAGGGATTGCTATTGACAAACACCTGATTTTTTGCAGTTCTTCAGTAGGGAACAGACTGAAAATGTCTGCTTTTCTGTAGCCTGTAGTACATGTACAGAGGATGTATGTGCAGAGGATCCAAAACAGTGAAGTGGGTTTTGTGTTTGTTTCTTGAGAATGCTCTTCTGTCCCCTGCTAATCCCCTGTAGCTGCTGCAAGGCAGGGAGATTGGAGTCGTCTCCAGCAGGGAACAGAGATCTGTGCATCTCCTCATCTTCTAGGATGGGAATTGTGCTTCTTCATCAAGCACAAGTAGCATGGGGTTAAGGGGCCTCAGTGGGTGCACGGATTGCACAGGCATCTCTTCAACACCCAGCCATTGGACAAGTCATCATCCAATGTGGAGCTGTGGGTGACATGAGATTGTTGTACCAAAGATGCCAAGGTCATATGCTTTTATCATCCCTTGTGAGTGATGTCGCTGGGCTGCACCTCTGAAAACCTGCATAGAAGTCATAGATTAGAGGGTAAGTTACTGTGATGTCATTTTAGTGCTGTTTTCATCTTCCCAGGCATGCCATAAAGCAGTTGGGTTTTTTGTTTGACTGTCTCATAGGACATACTAATTTAAGCTAGCTAGATATTTTTTCTTAATGTAATTTAAATTCCAAAGTAGCGCAAAAGTTAATA